AACACAAAACAATAATAAAAAATGTCCTGCTTCATTTCAGTGTTGATGGATCCCGACATCCAGATATTCTGCAGCCAAGAACAGACTTCCTCAGAAAAACCAAAACCTGATCAGACTCTGGATTTACCCAATCCCTCCTGGCATTCAGCAGATTGTTGGAAGTCCCCCTCAGAAGGTGACGATGCCAAGTCGGCCATTGTCCCCTTCATGGAGGAAAGTGGACCTCGTCACTTGAGTAGAAATAGCGATGCAATTGACTTCTTCAGCCTGCTGTTTCCTCAGTCACTGATGGAACTCATCACCAAGGAAACCAACAACCACGTCAAGACCTGCCGCTTTCTGGATTCCTCCTTCGCCGACTGGGTCCCTGTCACCACTTATGAGATCAAAGGTTTCATTGGCTTGGTGATACTGATGGGGATACAGAACCTGCCCGACATGTCGCAGTACTGGTCCATGAGTCAGTATGACAACAGCTATACCTTCTACCGTGCCATGAGCTACAAGCGCTTTAAACAGATTGCTGCCAACATCCGCATGGGCAGCCTTGTCACAGACGAGTATGTGGGTCCAAACCACCCCAGCGATCCACTGCACATCTTCCGTCCGATGTTAGACATCTTGGGTCAAGCCATGTGGGACGCCTACCGACCCAACTGCTGCCTGACCGTTGACCGCACACTGCTTCCTAGTCTGGAGGATGACAACACCAGTGCTACGCCTAACTCTAAGGCCCAGCCCCAGGTTTGGCTGCTGTGTGATTCCAAGTCAGGCTACTGCCATCGCTTCTTCATCCAGGTGGGAGAGAAGGAGAACCAGGAGCCTGGCTTCACTGTGGTACCACAACTGGTCAAAGACCTGCAGGACAAACACCACCAACTCTATCTCACCAACTCACTGGCATCGGTCCCACTTATGCAAAAGCTTCTGGACCAGGGAATTTACGCCTCTACCTCCTTCCCACCAGCCAACCCCATCCTGCCTCAAGAGCTGTGGAACGAGGGACAGCTGGAAAATGCCGGGGACTTCTTGCAGAGGCAGTTTGGGCCCTTGTTGGCAACTCGCTGGAGAGACGCCAAGGAAATGGGCTGTCTGTCAACTAATGCTGGTCCAGGTGAGGCCGACATTGTCTGGAGAAGGTCTCAAACAAAAGTTGGAGCTTTGGATCCTATTGACCGCCCCATGGCCTTCCGCCTCCTGCAGGAGAACATGCGGGGAGTTGACATCTGTAAGCAGCTGCTAGCTTGTAACCCACTTGCGGGAATCCCTCAGGACAGACACTGGCGCAGCCTCTTCTGGTTCCTGGTAAACCTGAGCATCGTTAACGCCTTTATCGTTCTTCGGGAAAGTCGTAAGGAAAACCCTCCCTCCTGGGTGCAGGATGGCCTCTTTATGCAAGTCCATTTCCGTAAGCGTTTAGGTAACCAGTTAGCCAAGTGTGCCCAGAAGTCCTCCGACAAGATAGAGGTCGTCAGCTCCCGTCCGGTGAAAGAGGAGGTGGTACCGAAACCAGGAAACCAAAGGCATAGACTTGCAAAGATTAGTACCATCAGCAAAAGGTGCAGAAACTGCAACGTCAAAAACGTCCGCCGCGAGAGCGTAAACGGCTGCATCATCTGTAAAGTCAACCTCTGCAACCAAGCCAGCTGCTTCTGGGAGTTTCATGGCCTTTCACCTCTAAACCGCGGTTAGTGCCTTAAAAAAAACTTGTCAGCTTTGAGAATCTTTAAAACATTTTCTTATTTGAACCTGCTCCATCTTTAACAGGTTCAGCCAAAATTGGATTCCTGAAGGAGGGCATAAGGTATTTATTTAAAAAAATTGTCAAAAAAAGAAGATAAATAACCAAAACATGGTACTGTTTTTTTAACTTCCACATTTTATTTTCTGCAGTGGAGAGGTCGGCGTAGAAGATTCAAAGGACTACATGGACGACGCGATGGCTCCCGTGGAAGACATAGACTTCTCAGATGATGAGGACTTGGGCGACCTGGATGACATGGATGAAGAGTCCAGAGATATTAAAGAAGAATATTTCAGAGAAACAAAACCTGCCGTGTCCGATCTGAATCTTACAACAAACGGTGACATCCAGCCACCAACCGTAGTCGCTAAAGAACAGGATGAGGGCCTGACAGCCCGGCAGCTGAGAATCGCTTTAATGGCTTTGAGTGAAGGACTTGGTCAAGCTTCTAGAGTCTTTTCAACCCACACCCAACTCATCCAAACGTGGCTGACGGAGGCAAAGAAGCGCCTGAAGCAACATGGGCCGGAACAGACCGATGATTCTGATGGTGAAGA